ATAATTTATCCCATTTTGGAAAGCATGTAAAAAGATTCTTAATTATGTTAAGGAACTCTAGAATGAACTCCTTCCTGTGTAATAGAAGAATATTTTACTGATAACACTCTATTTAAATTAAACAACGCGCATACATATGCAGAATAGTTTTCATCATTCTTAATGCTGCTTCTGTTAAATAATTGCACAAGTTATGTATTACATGAATATCGTAACTCTGTTTTCGTAGCCCATGCTAGCAGGGTGTTCTTCAATGTATTATCTTAATATTTACCTGGATTCATTATAACCCACCTGACATTGTATTAAACAAGGTGTCCTATTCTTAGGGAATAACATCATCCTATTTCAAGCTTCTTCTCTCCTCCTCGGCTATATGTTATCAGTTCTCAACTGTTCAAATTACGCGTTCGCTGTTGTAACATTAATAACCATAGTTTTACAACTTTATAATGACAGACATTATGTAACGGTGGCTTATGTGCCATGTAAATCATTCTTCAACATGTACACCCTCCTTAGACATCTCCTTTATTCCATGTATATTCACTAATTGACGCTCGTGAAATTAACGTTTACGTTGTGACTCTTCATTCAGAATTCCTTGTTCCATTGGAATGGAATTTCCAAATAACAATCCTAACTCTTTTAAAAAGTGTCTACTGTCCTGAGCAAATTTACTTTTTAAATGTATATTCTCCTCCATTTAGCAGTTTAAACTGCTATATTATAGAGAAATACATATATTATGTGATCTTATATGCCTGTAGGTAGCTCACTCGCAAAAGGGCGTAGAAAACTACAGTTATAGATACATTATTTCTGTTTACTAAAAGGGATGTAAACCCCAAGCAAAGTGGGAGTTAATTTCTAATTGTGAAATGTTTACTATTAAACAAAAGTTTCAAAGAAATAAACTAAAAAAATTGAGTTAACTCAGAAGAGAAGCCACATATAGAGAAAACATTATCAGTCCTTACATAGAGGAATTCAAAAAGATCTACTTCCTCTACAGATAAACTACTAACCTAAGTAGCTCGCATATTTGGCATAGATATTATTCTCTCCTAGCTCGATATCTATTCACGTGATCCTCATGTCACAAGTTCTATATTATGGAAAGCTCCCAAACGCTATACTTGTCCTGTTTGCTCCTCATCTGCGAGCGCTGGTCCTTAAGATTATGAGATTCCTGCCTGCTCAGATGAATTCGTTGGATTACAGCATGGAAGGGAAGCAATGCCTCTCCTCTTCGCTCTGGGAACATTATTAACCTTGGGGAGTTTCCCTTTCATTGGCATATATAGTTGGATAATCATTTGTCCTATCACTCGCTCTTTGTACTCTGTTCCACTTCACGAATCCCATTCCTAATTGTTGCCTCCTGGAATCATTCCTTTCCCAATTTTCTTCTTTGCGAAATTCTCTAACGTTTGTCTCAATACAGCAAGCTCCCTCCTGAAATTACCCAAGAAATTCACATAGTCACGCTTCGTCAAGTCATTTCTTATGATTAGTCCCCTAAAAAGTTTATTGTATTGTCTTTCTTCGTCTTCTAGAATTTCCGAAATCATTTTTTTAACGTCACTCCAAAGACTGAAAGCATGCTTCTCTTTTACTCGATTCTGTTTTTTCCATTTTTCGAAATATTCCATTAATGCAATTTGCATTCTGGAAATCTCTTGTACTTCGGAATCATATGCTCGCCGGCAGAGTCCTATCATCTCATGGGGCCTGGCTAGTTGGTCCAGGTCATTGAGGAGAGGGTCCATGTCCTGTTCCTGTCCTTCGTCACTAAATACAGTCTCACCCGTCTCAAACTTAGGGAAGTAGATATTAAAGAAGCCATTTTCTCCTTGATATTTTTCTTCAACATTTTCATCTGCATCCAGACCGTCCTGTTCTTCATTTTCACCTAAATCCATTTTATCAGACCCGGATAACACATGATCAGATTCAGAATCAGAGGAACTTACATTTTTATCTGAGTCTCCTTCTCTGAAACATCCATTTTCATTTAATTCGGATAAGTTCCTTTCTTGTATTGGGGTCA